ACCTTGTTTTTTGTCAAGACCCAGGGCTTTTTTTGTAGCAGGAACTCCTTTGCATGTTAGGCCACACACCCCTAATGTAGCCAATCCTAATGAGCTTCCGCTGTTGGGTGTGGCCTATTATGCTAATGAGTCCCTGCTGGGCGTGGCCAACTTGGGAGCCAGCCGGAACTCTGTTCCTGTGCGTTCCTGCCCAAAAATAGCCCTGGTTACACCCAGATTGGGCCGCACTCACACATCCCACTTGGGGCTGCCTTGGGAGAATGCCTGAATGTGGCTGGTGCGGTTTTAGCTAAGGGCAGGCTGCCTTGTGGCCTGGCTCTGACAGATTTTGAGACTTCAGTGTGGTTTCCATTTGCTTCCCTGGCCCAATGCAAAGTGCTGGTGTTGCCCTTTAAAGCCCTAAACGGACCGGGGTCAGATCCCTCAAGGACTGCCTTCTCCGTCCCAGCAGACTCTTCCTTCACCTTGCGGTCTCAGCTCAGAGGTAGGGCTTCACATGCCTCCTCTGCCGGAAGAACACAGAACGAGGCCTTCTCAACAGTGGCACGGAGACCGTGGAGCTCCTTGCCATAGGGGGCTCCCTCTCTGTGCAATTTCTGGCTTAGGAGAAGGTGGGACTTTTCCCAGAGAGGCTGTAGGGCACGGTGGGCTCTGAGGCTGCCTTGTGGCCTGGTTCTGACAGATTTTGAGACTTCAGTGTGGTTTCCATTTGCTTCCCTGGCCCAATGCAAAGTGCTGGTGTTGCCCTTTAAAGCCCTAAACGGACCGGGGTCAGATCCCTCAAGGACTGCCTTCTCCGTCCCAGCAGACTCTTCCTTCACCTTGCGGTCTCAGCTCAGAGGTAGGGCTTCACATGCCTCCTCTGCCGGAAGAACACAGAACGAGGCCTTCTCAACAGTGGCACGGAGACCGTGGAGCTCCTTGCCATAGGGGGCTCCCTCTCTGTGCATTTTCTGGATTAGGAGAAGGTGGGACTTTTCCCAGAGAGACTGTAGGGCACGGTGGGCTCTGGGGCAGAGGGAGGCAACTCACAGCTTCTCTTGTTCCTGTTAACTTGTTCCTCCTGCTCATTTTGCCATTTGTCAACTCGGGCAACCATTTGCTAACTTTCTGAGACGCAAATCCTCACTTTAGTAGGCATAATATCCGAACGGAATCTTCTTTATTCACCTTGTGGAGGAACAGATTGACAGACAAGAGTGACAAAAATTCTCTGCACATGATTGCAGGTCACCAGTTTCAGGGCCTGGAATAGGAAGCTTCAGATATGGCACAGCAAAAAAAGGATTCTTCCTCTTGACCCCGGAGGTCCCTTCCAACTCTGTGATTCTTCTGTGTCTGAGAACAGCCGAACAGGCCTCTGAACAGCTGGGCTCCATCCAGCTCAGGCCACTAGCCTTCTGATCCCACCCAATGCCCTGTCTGACGCACCAGATTTTGCCCTCGAGGCTCCGGAAGCCAGAGTCCTTGTCGACATCCAAAATCTAACTGTTGCTAGCCTTGTCCCGTTTGACTGGTGGTATCAAGTAATTGTGAGCAACACAGTGTGGTTTTGCCCTGTGCTAAGAATGGGTTAAACCTTTTCGGGGGGGTGGGGGCTGATGTGACTGAGAAACCAGTGTTACCTGTGTGCTTGCATCTGAACACCCCCACCATTCACGCCTGCTCAACCTGTACGTTTTGTAAACAAAACAGATTGCTACAAAGAGACCAACGAGCTTCACTGCCTGCCTCCTCGGAAGGAAACTGGCCCCAGGGAAAGGGAACAGAACACATCCGTTCCTTGTAATAAGAAGTTGGTTTGGAGGAGGCCACAGGACAGGGGTCAGGAACTGTGCACAGGGAAGCAGGCCTCCCTGCTCTTCGAGGGGCATCGGTTGAATGTCTGCCTGCTCTTTCCATCTTAACCAGGGTACAGGCCACATAGTTACACTGAGACCAGCGCAGGGGAGGATTCTACCCGTGAACCACAGCCCCTGCTGCGGCTGTTGTGCACAGGTCTCCAGAGACTCCTTGTGGCCTCCTCTGCCCGGGTCGGGCAGGCACCCCGCGGCCTCTCTCGGGGCATTTGCCACACGGCAGCCTCCTTTCATCCTGCACAGATGTCTTGGGTTGGGTTGGGGAAGCAGACTCTTTGTGGCGGCTTGAACGAACCCCAGAATGCTGAAAAGGCTGGCCTTTGGAAGGGGAAGAAGAAGCATCAGCTTAGCTAGGAGGGAGTTAATCCCTGGGAAGGGTCTTGACCACCCTGCTGAGCTCAAGGGCATTTTGTTAGGGGGGGGCAGCCCACAGCCACCCTCCGCCCGCCCACATCCCCCCCCCCGCCTGTGCTCCCAGCTGAACCTACCGCCCATTTGCTGCCTCCAGGAAGGGAAGGGGTCCAGGGGTGGGGCACAGAGGAGGCCGTGTTTCTGGTAGCCACAGGGATGGCACTTCCAGTTGCAGGCCGTCGTGCCCTGCCCTGCCCAGGAAAGGACTGGTGGTGGTGCAGGTGGCCTTGAGCACCGGGCGGCAGGGCTTGCAAGCAGGTTGTGGGGGCATGAGGAATTAGATAAGCATATGGAGCAGAGGTCCATCAGTGGCTATTAGCCACAAGGTATAGCTAGGGACTCTGGGGCAAGTGATGCTCTGTCTTCTTGGTGCT